ATATATATATATATATATATATATATATATATATATCTTTTCACCTCCTTATTTTTATATGATTTTTTTTCCAATTTTTTTTTTTGAAAACTTAAAAACATACTTTTTTTGAATTTATTTAAGTCAAGTAATTTTCTTTTTCTTTTTTTGTTTCACTACTCACTTCCTCTCAACCATTAGTGACTTATGTAGTGGTCGATATTCCTCCCTCTTAACAGATCAAAGGTACGCTAGGGTAGGAATGTAAAAATAACCCGCAACCCGTGAGCGGTCCGAAACCTGTTCGTGGCCCGGGGTGGACCTGGCCCATTTGGGTCTGGGCTCGGGCCCAAGCCTTGCCCAAGACCTTAGGCCATCATTTTAAAGTCCGGCCCATCGGCCCACTTAAGGCCCACTCAAGCCTCGACTCGCGCGCGAGGCCTAGTGTTTTTTTTTTAATGAAAAATAATAAAAATTTTGGTAGAAAAAAAAAAAAAAAAATTGTTCAGGCCCTCCTAAGCTCAGGCCCACTAGCCCGTCCTGAGGCCTAGCATACCGACCCGCCCAAGGCCCGAATACCCCCTAGCTTGGGCTTAGTTTTTTTTGGCCCATGGCCCAGCTTGAATTTTGACAAGAGCCCGTGAGGCTTGACATGGGCTGGGCCGGACCAAATTTAGAACCCTACGCCAAAGCGTCTAGTGAGTCACAGACAGAGTTTGAAAAGGTCACTCTTATGTGATAGGTTGTTTTTGTTTTTATTTTTTCATCCTACATTGTAATAATTAAATAATTTTATTGCAGATTTTGTACCCATAAACGGGGTAGTTTTGTTCACATAAAAGAAATATATTAGATTTATTAGTTTATTAAAAAATACTAAGGTAGTGTTTGATAAAATTGAAAATTAAGTATTAAAAATTAAATGTTAAATTTTTTAAATTGAAAAATTATTTGGTAAAAATTTAAGTGTTGAATTAAAAATAAGTTATTTGATATGTGTAAGATAAAATTTAAAATTTATTATTTTAAAATTATATATTTTAATTTTTATATTAGGATAATGGTTATAATGATTGTGATAGCGATAGTAACAGTGACAATGATACTGACAATAATGACAGCCGCCTTCTTCCACTAACGCCTAAGTTAACAGAGCTAATAGGTAATGTGAAATTACTTTTTTGTTCCCATGAAATTATTCACCTTGCTTATTTTTACTTTTTAAAAAATACTTTTTAGAAAATTCTACTTTTTTATTTTTCGTATTTTTTTTATTTTTATTGATTTTTAAAAATATTTTAAGCAATTTTTTTACTTTTTAGACACACCTAACATAAATATACTTAAAAAGTAAAAAAATTGTAAAAAAAATCTTTTAAAAATTCACTAAATACCAAAAATATAAAAAAAATACAAGAATTCAGTATAATTTTTGTATTTTTATGTATTTATTAATTTTTTAAAATATTTTTTACTTTTTAGATACATCTAAGTAAGGTGCATCTAAAAAAGTTAAAAAAATGTTTAAAATTTAAAAAATATTCACTAAAAACAAAACAACATGAAAACCAAAAAAAAAAAACTTAATCCAGAAAACTCAAACCAAACACACTAATTGACCTTCAACAAGTCAAGCATAATAATGTCCGCCAATCACAGAACCAATGGCCAACAAGTTGAGCATAATTATCTTCAACTGTTCTTATTATTTACATATTAAATTTTAGGTTAAGTTATACTTTTCTCATTTATATTTGGTCACTTTTTTTTTATTTTGACTCTTAAAATTTATTTTTATCACTTTAATAATTCATATTTCAAGTTTTTCTCAATTTACTTTTAAAACTAATTTAATTCTATTCAAAATTAGATAGAAAAGTGCTACAATAATTGTCACACAACATAAAAATTATATTATATTAGAGTTTAAGTTTATAATAAAATATTTTTGTGCCACGTAATTGTCAATATATTAGTTTTTGTCTAGTTTTTAACAAAAATTAACTTTAAGAAGTAAAGTAAAAAAAAAAAAAAAAACTTGAAACATAAAGGAAAAATTACTCATAAATCCCGTATTGAAAAATGTTACTCTATCTAGTCCTGAGTGTTTTTTTATAAACCATTTAGTCCTTTTTTACATCACAACATCATCATCAAAATAACATCAAATATCACAACATCATCATTAAACAACATCAAACATATGTGGTCTTGAATTTTCATGGTAACATGCTTGCTTATGCAAACCAAATTCACATCTCACACGCACACACCATTGTGCATTGTCAACAATATTTCACCCACTGTTGGTTTGCTTCTCTTCTCTGGAAACAATGGCGAAAAGCGAAGTGAAAGTTCTGGAGCATGGCCAAGCCCATTCGTGATGAGGCCTCGAATCGCACTCAACATGAAGGCGGTGGAGTACGAGGCCTCATCCCTACTTCGCGAATCAGATCTGGGTTCCGAACCCATCTCCCTTTCTCTATTTCTCACAGAGCCGATTCGAGATGTGGGTTTTTGAGATGTGTTCCAAATCAGATCTGGGTTTCGATCTGAGATGTGTTCCGAATCAGAGCCGATCTGAGATGTGTTCCGAATTAGATCTGGGTTTCGATCTGAGATGTGTTTCGAATCAGAGCCGATCTGAGATGTGTTCCGAATCAGATCTGGGTTTCGATCTGAGATGTTTTTGATGTTATGATGATGTTTG